ATTTTCCACAACTGCAAACAAAATTGAAAGAAGGTGGACTATTTCAGTGGGATGTCATGAATTCTTCATGGTAGCCCATAAAAAAAAATGCATGATTTAAAATTGTCAATTGGATTTCAAAAAGCTTCTGCTGTAGCAGCAGGGTATAATAATGTCACACTAAAAGACTCTGTTATGAGTATTCAGCTCACAGGTGTAACAGCAGGAGCAAGAATAGGACACAGAGGAAAAAGTGCTGACAGATGGTGGATACACCAACTTCCTTTCCACATAATGAAGGGGGCTGTACAGCTGGAGGTGCAGAACTGATTAATTCATTTCTCATTTAGCAGGACCACACAGGCTTTATTGTTGTAACCCTTTGTTTCTAGCAGACTTCATAATGACATCCAGTTTATTTAAATGCTAACCTTGATTATTAAAGGTAAAAAGAACAATGCCAGCAGTATGCAATGAAATTAAATCACATACAACACCACTGAGTATGCTCATGTGAAAAGCAAATCAAGGGCATCTCATCTATTTAATTACACCCCCAAGATCTGGTTCAACATTTGCAAGTGATTATTTCAAAGCAAAGTCTTATAAGTCTTAGCTAAAGATTCCTACATGCCAAAAGCAATGCAGGTATGTACCTGTTTGGGGGAACTCTATTAGAATTGGGAAAATAATTTGTAATGAATAATTTTATAATTTTTGCTTCTCTCTGTTCACAACATTTCTGCAAAGTCTGATCTTCTCAGATGTATATATTAGTGAAAATATTTACAAAATAATTTCTGTGAATAAATTTTGATGTGTAGATTGAATACTTCAGTCAATTGCTTACAAACAAAATTTGAGATGGTGAAATTGCACATATGGTTACTTTGTTCTTTGGATAAATGTGTAACTCTTAAAATCAAAATTTCCAGAGCAAATATTGTGATATTAAATTCAAAAGATGCTTTCCATGAATATTCGTATTTGCATATACTCAACTGCTAGAATATTCACAGAAGTGAACACAAAAGGGACATTAACCCAAAGTGAATGCAATTTACCACTTGAAAGAATATGTTTGTAGCATTTTGTCACTATTTTCCCAGTTGTACCAACAGTTCGATTGCCTGTGTCTCTAGTCTTACCACAACAACTATATCAAGCCAACTTCAACTTCTTTTATTGTTGGTTATTAAAAATATTGTTCAAGACTGTCAAAAAGATGCCTAAAAATTATGACACCTAAATCCATATTTTAAAAAAGTCTGAATACTCTCAGTTCTTCTGGGAAATCAGGTTAAACTTATTTAGATGTCCAACTACAGACACCCATTCTTGAAAATCTTGAACATTATATCTGCAAAATGGGAAAATCAGAGAAGGGGGGAGAGGGGAAATATTGCCTGGCTTAGAGCAGTAATGGGATCACAAATAGGAGAATCCAGGAAAATAAAGGAAAGAAATTAAAAGTAATAGTAAACATTTATCATTAATACTTAAAAGTTTGCCTTCCCTTTATTACAGGAAAATGATTTTTAAAATTAAAAACTCTAATATACAAGGAAGAAAAGAACAAGCTCTCTCTCTGGATTCCAATCACTGCAAGCAGACCCTGATCCAAAATACACTGAAGGCAATTGGAATCTTTCCACTGAATTCAATGAACTTTGGATCAGGCCCATATTTGCCCACTTCATCCTCTCCGCAGAAAAATCTCAGGTCAAGGATATAAAACTCCACCATGGTCCCCTGGTGGAGTTTTCCAAGGATCTGTTGGAGAGAGTGAACCCACCCCACACCTACATTGCAGACCAATGGATTTTAAGAGATCCACTGGAGGCCAGGGCTTTGGGAATAGCATGACTAGATTTTCCCCAATGAAAAATCAGGATCAGTTGCATGGTGGGGATTAAAGATTCTTCTTCCCTCTTCTCCCATATCAGCCACCTCCACCAAAAAAGAAATAATGCTGCCTCTTCTCTCACAGACTAATTCCCCTCAATTAATGCTACCCCTTCCCTTTCCCTCCCCACAATCAGTACTCATCATACTTCAAATATTTGCATGATATCCTGTGAGTAGCATCTCAAGATTTTGAGCTTATTTTGTGGGCAGAGCTTGGAGGAATACTGCTACCACCTTCTTACCCCACCCCCAACACAGTCCATGGACAGAAACAGTCAGGACACCACACTGTCACTCCAAACTGGGACAATCCTGGTAAAGTGTGTGTGGAGGCATTGTACCTCTGAGTTGCTTTCAGGATTCCCTTATCACACCTTGTCTCCATATATTGGAGAGTCCAAGACAGCATGAATGCATTCTGGTACCATGCTCAGAGATCTCAAGTAAGAGGTAGAAGGTCCATGTCATGAAGCGGGAGGCAAATCAAGGTCAATACAATCCTACAATAGTAGGATCTACTATTACTTACAGTGCTATTACAGTAGTACATACTATTGGCTGTATATATGAATATGTATCACCACTCAAACCCACAAGCCCTAGCCCTTCCCTTCCCTTCAGGGTCACAATTCCAGGTCTCTGCAAAATGGGGAGAGATTGCCCTGCAGAGTCAGTATTCCTGCCTTTAGCACACTCTTGACAGAGTTTCTTAGGATTTTAGTGAGTGATTTCAGCCAATGTAAACTGTCAAAACAGTTATGTCTACATCTGCTGACAATCTAACCCAGTGTTCATTTCATTATCATTCATGCAGTCATATCGCTCATTAATCGTGAGGATTTAGATGACTCCTCTGAAATCACAAAAACACGCACAATGTTGACACCTCCAGGAAGTTCAGCTTGAATGTTTATTTTTCTGAAAATTCACTGGATGTTTTTTCTATTTTAAAAGATTTAATCATCCAGGCAGAAAGCAGTAACAATACCATATGACTTAGGTGATTAATTACACAACAGAACAAAGTCAACGCTTCAAACAACCTATAGTTTGAGATTTTTAATCTAAAATATTTAAGGAATATTTATTAACAAACACTATAACAATACCTGGATCAGGTTACAAAGGATTTAATAACCACAATCAGAAAAGCCTGTGTTCATATGTACTTATACTCCAGTATTATTAATGACGACATGTTCTGCTGTGAAGAGCGCTTCCTAATTCTGACTATTCCTGGATTGAAAACTGGTTATTTCCTCCCAGAAATGAACATTCTAGTGTAGTGCTACCACAATCAATCTCCAGTTCACAAAGAAAGAAAGAAAACTTATTTATTTCACCTTCCTCCTCTAAACTCAGTTTTCCACTATCAATAAATGGACAAATGTGAGTAATTGAAGAAATAATGCATATAGTGGTATTTGTGTACAAGGCTTGGAACACAGACATGTCCATCTCTTTAAACCAAAATATTTTATACTAAGGACAGGTTTAGAATAAAATTTAGTCAGTCAATTACAATGTAGGCAGAGGGGATTCAGCTAGGCACCAAACTTAGTAATTAAATGGCAGAAAAGTACAACCTATTAGTCTAATGGGTTGGAAGAGAAGGAGGTGGGGGGGGGAAGACTGACATTAAAGCAGTCAATAAGATTATATAGCAGACTAGGAAATTAGGTTTAACAACATTAGAACAAGACCACATCCAGAGAAATAAACTTGGCTCAGTAATTTGTCTGACCTAGCAGCTAAAGAGACGATAACATTTTGGACCTCAGACAAATATAAAAAGATTTTGTCTGACTTTTTAGAAATCTTTGATTAATTCCTAACCAAAAAGGACACTCCTTCCTCCTTCCACTTTCCTTTCATTTACTTTTTGTTCTTTTTGCCCTCTTGTTGTTAGTTCTCCCCTCATTTTGGGGGGCAAAACAAAAATCAATAAAATAAATAAAAGAAAGAAGGGAATAAGAACTAAGAATAAAGAAGGAGTAGAGATGAATTAAACACACACCTCAGAGATGTTAGACTGGAGAAAATAGAATGGTAAGCATTGATTTGAAATGCTCAATTTTAGCATGTGCATACTGCTTTCTGTGCAATTTTAAAGTGTGCACAGGTAAAAGTGTGACAATGCTAAGGTGCTCTAGGATTGAGATTTACAGAAGTGGTTTGATCCAGTACCTAATGGGCCAAATCTAACCTCTCCATACACCATTTTCACATTGATGCAACTGATTTGACCATTAGTTACTCTCAATTTACACTGGCATAAGAAAGATCATAATCATGCACTCTGTAAGAAAAGTCCAAATTAAAGGTCAGTTATGATGTGATTGAGTGGTATTACATGATAACCACAAAAGCTGCAAACTAGCAAGTAAGGGAGAAAGGCATGGCTTATGTTTCCCAGAGAATATACAACACGCTTACACCTTCTGTAGAAATTAAACCACCCATCCCTATCTTTGCTACCCTGGCCTCTTGTATAGGTTGTACGATAATTACATCTGTCTCTGAAGTAATACCAGAATTTAGTGCTACATTCTGCTTGGATTAGAAGGGATTTTGCTTTTTTATTTGAAGGGACCAGTAAAAAGAGAACATTCTGGGGAAGTTGGCCGTGACCCTACCATTTTGTATTCACTTGAGGACACATGCCTCTGCATGCAACTTCTTTGCCTTCTCCAATTTGTTGTCAGCTTCTCATCCACAGTAACCTGCTTCAGCTTCTACCTTCAAATGCAGAAATAAAGTAAAATAGAGTGGTAAAAGGCATTAATTGCTCTTCCAGTCAGGAGACAAAAAAAGGAAGAAAAAAAACGTTTGCACAAAGATGACCTTTTTTCCAATGCTTGTCAATTTTTCCATTCCCTACAATAATTTCTCTAAAAGTTTGCTCACACCCACATATGCAATCTCTCACAAAAGCTCTTCAGACTCCAAAGGCCAAATTATGTACCAGGTACACACATATTTCCACTGAAGTTTCTTCTGGGGGTAGAATTTGGCTGGCTGTGACAGCACTAGGCATGCAGATAAGATTCACAGTGAGAAAAGAATTTCAGTGATGCAACTTTCCACTCTTAACATTTAGAACCTCTCTCCACTGAGACACACACACACACACACACACACACACACCCCTTAGTTTGGTGAGAAGTCAATACCCTATATGGCAGTAAAGATGGTGGTGAAGAAGACTGTAGATGCTAGTCCACCACCGATTGTAACAGCAACCACAACCTCACTCTTAGAGGTGGTCAGGAAGTTTTTGACAAAACAGGCTTTCAACTGAAATTGCGGATTTATTGAGAATGGAATTTCAGGGAAGGAGAGAGAGACAAAGAGCCCAGAGTATATAATAAATCAATGGTTAGGGCTCCCACCTGGGATATGCTCTCAGTCTGTTTTTTTTTTTTGTCTCTCAAAAAATTGGAAAGGTCTCAGTTTCATTCCTCATCAAAATGAAACCAGATACACAAACTATTTCAAGGTTTCTGAAACAGAATTCATGCTTTCTTGCACTACTCACTATATCATTCCAGCAAGTGAAGTAACTACTTGTAAAACGAGAATTAGGTCCAAAGTTACTCAGTGCAGTAAAGTATTTCTATGGTTCTTTTATACTCTGTTATAGACATCTTCAGTCTCCAACCCTAACCTGGCTGATTGCCTATTTGTCCCCATTTCCATCTTTCATTGTGTTTAAGATCTGCTTTGCATTGTGATCATTTAACTAGTTTATCAGCTTGCTCTTAGTTGTACATGTCAGTTACGCAGTGACAGTGCTTAAATACAAAGATGATAGATTTTGTCAAAATACATTTTCCCTCTTATTTAGCTTCATTCAAAGGAAAAAAACTTTCTTCAATGCCACACAAATGTGTGTATGTTCACAGACTAAAATGGTAAGGACATTTAGCACAATATAGTCATCTCCTTTTAAAATATTCTTGTTTTCCACTTAGCTGAAATCAGACCATCTTAATGTTGAACCTTCACTTAACCGAATCTAATTATAGCTACTAAGTGACCCCATGGGAAATGCAGTGACAGGGAAAGCATCTTTAAAAGAGAATGGTTGTTGCTTTTGTTCATGTATTTCAAAACCAAGGAGAAACTTGACTGATGAATATTATTATTCACACAAGAAATGTCCTTGCACATTATATAAACAACACAAAAGTAGGGAGAAGACAGAGGGAAAATTGGTGAGCATCTCTCAGAAAAGAATAGATAAGTGACAGGAGAAACAGTTAAAAGAAAAACTTCAAGACCTTGTCTACACACAGAAGTTGCACTAATTTGCATTAACTTAAAACCCTGCACATTACCTACACTTCTATATGGGTTTTAAACCAGTTATATTGGTTTAGCATATACCTGTAAATTCACTGACAAGTTAAATGAGAAAAAGAAAAAGGAGAGAGAGACCGGTTTAAACAAATATAAGCATCCACAAAGGTGTCTGAACTAGTGTAAATAAAGTCAATGTAAAGATACACCTTTAATTAAACCAGTGCAACTGTGTGTGTATACCAGGCTTAAGCCGTCCTTGTTAAGCCACATTCCTAGTTGTTCTTGGTTCACTACTTAAGGTGTGATTAAATAAAATAAAATTAATTCCAAGAATATGGTGTTTCAGCTTCACAGGCCATGTTCAAATGCAATTCCATAAATAAAATTGGTAGCGAGACTGTGGATTCCGCTCCTAATTCTCAAATGCCCCATCTGTCCCAACCCCTTTTAAAGTCATTGTTTCAGGGGTATGATGCTATTCAAAAGGCATCACAAATGAGTGGGCCCCTAACTACTCAATTCTGAAATGTCTCCACAGCTTTCCATTCCCCTTTTCTCATCCACCATAGGGGTCTATCTTAACTATAGCTGATATTTGACAATTTTCATCTACTTTTTTTATGACTGAATGAATAATTTCAGATGAAAGGTAGAAAATTAAAACAAATAAAAGAGAATGGTTGAAATAATGCAATAATTATCCTGTGGAACTCATTGCCACAAAGTATAATTGTGGCAAAGAGCTTAGTAAGATTCAGAATTAATTATTGATATGTATGATAAGAACATTAGTTATGTTAGACCAAGTAAAAATATATGAGCGATCTGAATCCTTGTGCTTCGGGATCAAACGATCCACTAAATGCTTGGTTGCAGGAAGGAATTTCTCATATGTGCAAGTTACTCTAACTGCCATGTGGAGTTTCTTAAATCTCTGGTATTGATCCTTGTTAGACAGGATTCCGGACTAAATGGAACACTTGTCTAAAATTACACTTAGTTCCCATAGTTCCTACAATTTACTGCATGGTGCCCTTCATTAAAGTCATTCTTTTAACAGCTGGATCCAATGAGGCCTACATTGCAGATCTTCTCTCATCAAAAGCGCTCCACTCCAACTTTTGGTCCAATAACCTTTTCACTCAGCCTCCTGATTTCTAACCTATCCCTACATTCTACCCCACCAGCTTGCTTTCCAACAGTTTATTGAGGACATTCCAATCTTTTGGAAATCAGTAGAGAGACTTTACAAACCAACAGTTTATTCCATCACTGCTACACACCTGATACAAAGACTTTTCAATTATTTGTATGTATATGATCTATTAACCATTTTAACTCTCCTCTTTTCTCTTATTATTAAAGCTTTAGTTTTAGTTACTAAAGGATTGTAATCAGCTTGATTACTGAGTAGTACCTTGCTAAGTGGCTGATCTCTTGGGATTAGAAGGACCCTATATTTGATTAAATTGGTTTTCTGTAACCAATCATCATAGAGTCCAGTATCTAGGTGGTGAGACAAGGATCGGAATGCCTAAGGAGGCTGCATTTTTGTTCTTCTTATTAACCAGTGTGGTGAGACGGAAGTTTACTTTTGTTACTGTCTTGGTATAATCTAATGATAGAATCATCACCAGTTTGGGGTGAGTCTGCCCTATTTCTCAGCAGTTTGTCCTGAATTTGGCATCCTCAGCCGTGACCCACTGAGGCATGGTGACACCTTCCTCCAAGATTTCAGTCAGACTCCCACACATCAGCTCCCTGCCTTTTAGGATCTTCTGCCATCCCTGCCACCCAACACCACTGACAGATGTGGGTACAGCCTTACTCTTTTACAGCAGAGTTATGGAAGATTGAAGAAGTTTGGAATGAAGAGAGACAATGCAGTGAAATCTCCAAGTTTCCTCCAAACCATAAGTTTCCACTCATCTAGCTCAGGTCAGTGCATGGGCCCTAATCAGAGGAGCAGTTAACTCATAAGGAGTCTGTCAGTAACATATCCAGAATCAAAATCAAGAGAGCCACCTTCAAGGCCCTGCTATAACACGCACATCACCTTCTTTTCCCAACTGTGGCATACTGCAGATACTGAAAAGGTTATAAAAAAGAAAAGGGGGGAAAATAGAACTATTAGATTAACCTTGCCCACACTGTAAACCCTTTGATTTTATTAATTTTACAACAAGCATGAATTAAACTCATTGGGCCAAGCTCAGAGGTGATGCAAGTTGTGATATAAGTGACGTTGTCAGTAAGCTGCTGAAAATTTCATTCTGCCAGATCCTCAGCTGCTATAACCAGTGTAAATCCTCTGAAGATAATGAAACTTCACTAATTATAGCAGCTAAGGATCTGGCCCCAACTATCTGATTCTTCACTGCCTTCTATTTTGTGTTGTCATTGATGCCTGTACAAAATGAATATAAAACACTAACATTCTGGCCTGGTCTACGCTACGAGTTTAGGTCGACTTTAGCAGAGTTAAATCGAAGCAAGCCTGGACACATTCACACGACGAAGCCCTTTCTTTCGATTTAAGGGGCCCTTTAAACCGGTTTCTTTACTCCACCTCCGACGAGGGGATTAGTGATAAAATCAGCCTTAGTGGGTCGGAATTGGGGTAGTGTGGACGGAATTCGATGTTATTGGCCTCCAGGAGCTATCCCACAGTGCTTCATTGTGACCGCTGTGGACAGCACTCTCAACTCAGATGCACTGACCAGGTAGACAGGAAAAGCCCCGCA